CGTGTGTTGGGTGTGGATAATCGTTCTCTAACAGAAGTAATCGCTCTACATCGCCTCCGATGACTTGGTCACGTTTTGCGTATGCCTGCCTTTCCGTGCTCTCTTTGCACGTGCCAGGCAGGGCTGTAAGAACCGCCTCGGTGGTCAGAGCGTGACATGGCGTAGAGATATGAAGAGGCTGGCTTCAGCTTTGGCTTCGGTTGGTGCAGCCTGCCTTCCAAATTGGGGCCCAAGGGATGAGGATTGTAGTTGGTTACAGACGCTGAGAGATATGACCCAGAATAGAAGTCAGCGAATGCTGTATGGCCTGCCTGTCAAAATCTCAGGACCCGTAAAAGAAACGACAAAGTAACAAAAAATATCAAAAAATGTACGGTGAAACACAAAATTTTGTTAGTCCAGTTATCTACCATATTCTATTTCAACTGCATCACCTTCTTTCCACTTTGTTCTGTATCCCAATCCACCGTTATTATTGTTGTGGCATTGGCACCATGCTTGTCTACAAGCCCGTGTTATATATATATATTCCAGGAAATGAAAAATCACCTCACAGGATGAAACGACTCGTATGCTATCGCTTGCTAGGGCGTACAGAAATGCTCACACCATCGTGGTATACACATTAAAGACTGCGGTCAACGAATTTCGCACGTGAGCGGGGAAAATGAAACGAATTACTTACTCGTAGACGACCTCTTCGTCAGAATCGTTCATCATAGATACAGATGGATTGTCTTTGAAAAGCACTTCTGAATGGCAAAAAAATAGAAAAAAGGGGTGAGGGGGGTGGGACAATGGAGTGAATCAAACGAGCCCGGGATCAGGACAGCGAATTCCAAACACGCACCTAATCGTGGGCGGTATCCCGTGCAACCCAATAGCTGGACCACGATACGCTGGCTTTATCAATAAATCAACACCAGGGTCGGCTCAGTTAACACATGGGACAGGATATGGTTCTTTATTGAGCAATTTTGTAGATTTGATAAACAATGAGATAAACAATCAGCTGATGAGTGAACCAATAAACTAATACATCAACGGGTTTGGATGGGGAATAAGTTCTCAACGTGAGTGTCAACCCGTGAAGAATGCCAATCAATTAAACCGTCCGCCTAAACTCTGGCGCTCAAACTGCAAAAGATCCGGGGGATAATCGCTCTCGGAGCGATTGCACCGAACCGATTGACACTTACCTCGACTGGCATCAGCTGCGGGTGAATAGATCAAAGCAAGAGCGGCCATATACGTGTTCCACATCGTATAGATCAGAGTGAATTCCAAAGCAGAACGGTCACCGGTGGTAATGGTCAGACGCGTGGGTTCCTCACCGGACGTGTCTGCTTGAGTGCTGGATGCTTTTGTTCCAACTGATGGCTGACTGAATTCCGGTTGCTTGTCGAAAACCAAATCCGATCCGAATCGGAGGAACAACGAGGCCAGACTAGTGGTCACGGCCAAAACCGAAAGTGCAGTGAGTACTTGCAATCGTAGGTCTACGGAAAACAAACGAATATAAAAACATCGAGAAACAGTAGACAAACACATTAAAAGCGTAATCTGGTTGTCAAAGCCAACTACAAACAGCTCGTCTGATATGGAGGTGAACTGGTCCGAACGACAACAACAGTTGCGCAGTCGTGATAATGTCACACTGGATACCATCCTACCGTAGCATGACATGACAAGGTTTCCACGCCCTGGCATGTGGTCATAATCTGACCACCCTTGACCATTTCTCACTGACAATCCCACCCTG